ATGTGGCAGCCCACTTTACGAACAAAAGCGATATCTAAAATGGAAATTTCGGCACCAGTATTGCAAAACAAGTTTGGGCAATCATTTTTGACTTTTCCAGAGGTCTTGGCCTGCTTGGACCACTTTAAAGGGGCATGGTTTTTCTAATTGCCCCAGAATTCGCATGGTAGCAGGTATAATTACATCGCTTAATCTCCTCGAGCAAAGCAATTAGGTTCATAGAGAAAAGTAATAGGAACCAATTAGTAGCTTGCAATCTTCGATATATTCCCAATTTTCTTAACTGTGGTATCCTCCTTGCTACCCTTTTTTCCTGTGGTACCTATATCTTCTTTGTAGGGCTTTTCCACATAGATAAAAGACATGAAAATTCGAAAGCTCGGCTTGTACCAGGGTTGAATTTGGCGAGCGTTCTAATTTATCTCTTTTCTACCTTCTCCGACAACATCCCAGCGTGCTTGGTCGGGTTGTACCATTAACGGATCAAGTTACAAAACCCTTCCGTCTGGCACTTTCCGTCCTCGTGGGCCTCTCCACACAACTTGCACACAAAAACTCAACAATTCGTTGGGTGGTACTTCTTCACACAGCGGTCACACGTAAGTTGTTCCTAGCAATTCAAACGTTCATGCTTTAGAGATCCACAATGAGCGCACTTCTAGCATTGAGCGGCCGGGGAAGGGCGAAATTTCTGGTCACCTTCATTGTGACGGTGATGGTCGTCGTCCCGAATGGTTCGGCCTCTTGGAGTCTTCGCACCTGTGTCCCTATGTCCATCCATCGCCATTAAGTGAATTATCCTCAGGTTACCTTCCTCACTTGAGCATGGGTCCGAGCTCAAATTATCCAAACTCGACTTTTACATGGTAGACCGAACTGCAAATACCGATTGGCGCTTTACTTCTCTTGGTCGGTCGGGTAATACGAGTGCCGTTTTTTCGAATCTTTCTTGATCCAAAGAGTACCTTACCCCGCCGCGCTTTCATCCTCTATCTGGGTTTTAGCAAGTCTTCCAATTCGTCCACATCCGCCAGGCTTGATATCGTGAGCTGTTCTGCCAGTTCAATGTCTTCCAAAGTCTCGATGTAGTGCTTCAAATGTCCCTTTTGTATCCTGATGCTCTGTCCTTGATCCTGATCTTCGCCCTGAGTCCAATCGCATAAAGTCGGTACAGTTTGTTCAATGGTGACTCATCTGATCTCTTTTTCGCATGGTAGCATTGGCGAGAAACTGGCACTCTCAAACCGTAGAACTGCAATTGGAAATCTTGCAGGAGATCTTTTCAGCTTGATTGAACTAAGAGACACATTTGGTGATTCCAGTTCTGAGCCAATCCAGACAGCAATCCACCAAAGAAGGATACTTTTTATCGTTGGGCGCTTGATCTCTCGTGAACGCGGTTTTCACCGTGGTCACCCAACCGTGTGCCCGGTCCTCGTCTTGATCTCTCCCGTGAAAATTCTTGAGGTCCGAGGTTGATGCAAGTTTAATGCGAGGAACCATGTTGGGCATTTGTGCTACTGTAGCTTTTGCCATCCTCGCAAGTGGTCCTTTTAAGTCCATGTTTTCCGGGTCGTATTCGCACGTATCGAATGATTCTGTGGTAAAGCGACTTTTCAGAAACTATGGACTTAAATGTCTATGGTCTAGATGGAAATGAGACTTTGTGGCCGGAAAATGGACCGGAGACCTGGAGTTCACAGGGAAAGAATGGCCATTCAATTCATCCGTGACGAGCGGTTGAGGTATTCTTTTAAGGGGTCCTTACGATTGACGGTACCAGATAAACGGTACCAACATGTATTGTTATCAGCCACGCTTCGGTCGGCCCTATTTGCGCAAGGTGAACCTCAGTTTCCGCAAGCCGACCTGGCCACCCATTGGTCGGCCTGGTAGACCAGGGAGGCCCTCGGTTCCCCGTAAGCCGACCTGGCCACCCATCGGCCGACCTTGTCACCCACAGGTCGACTTAGCCTCTTAAGTTCTGGTGGCTCCTGTTTATAAATCATTGCGAAACCAGATGAAAAGGCAAAAATTGAGTAAATTAGTTTAAAGGATAGGAATGTATTTAATGCTTCTCAGTTTGCGATCTGAGTAGCACGACGTGTATTGCGCTAAGAAACTTGTAAGTTTACCTGCCTGTTCCGGGCCAGGGATCTGTTTAGCCCACCCGTCGAATGGACAGTTGTCAGTAAGACACGAGTTTAACTAGAACCCCAGCAAGTACATTGGACTGTGGGTTCGTAGAATGTCCCCACTCAATCCCGCTATAGATAGCGGCCTCCATACCCTACTGGTAAGGGAGAAGACACGTAGAGGCCAATCAGCTAACACCCCCAAGACAAGCAAAGCCAGGAGCTACCAGCACCTGAGAAAGCTAGTAATAAGACCGTCCCGACTAAGTCGATCGAGTGGCCGCCTACATTGGACCCCGACTGAAGCAAATTCGCTCGGGCCCCCCAAGGTTGACCTAAATCAAGGCCGACGTATACAATCGGCACCAATTCCTCGAAAGAGTGTATATCCTCCAGCAGACGGGTACACGATGTGAGTCAGGGTCCAGAAGCGGATCGGGGTACCCGTCTACGACAGTGGGTAGTCCAGTACAGTGAGTGGTTTGGGAGCTCGTGAAGAAATTTTGACAAGCTAACCCACGACGTATTATTTCGACGAATTTGTTTGAATCTCTATATTGTCTTTCCGCCCAAACCCGGCTATGGACGATTACATGGTCAAAGTAACTTGATAAAAAGTCTCTACACTGTCTAAACAACTTCATAACACACGGTTTTATATGTAAAACGAGATTTTTATAGCCCTTGTGGCATTGCCAGCCACTCCCTCAGCATACCGCTGGGGGTGGTTACTGTTGTTTACGGGATATCTTGGTTACGCATGAGACTCTGATAGAATCCATCCAATTATCCATGGACAAGCATTAATATGCTTTGCCATACCATAAATGATGACGTCCTTCCTCGGTTTCGACGTCTGGGTTGGTATGTTTCAGCGTTCAATTTGTTAAACACGTGCACTATCGGCCATTTCTTGAGGCCTTTCACACACAGAAGGTCTAAGGGCTGTGAGAGGAGAATGAATTTCTCAAATGGATCGCTACTAAGCGATCGGCATAGAGCTTGTCGATCGCTAGTACTTGTTCACGACACAGCGGCTACTGCTTCGCGACAAAGTACTTTGCAGCCCGATTTGAGCTCGATCTCGTGTGGAGTGCCTTTTTCCTCTAGGCGACTCTCATGGCACAGATAGTTTCCAGTTTCTTCTCCTTACAGTCTATGTAAAACTTATACCATGTGCTTAGCAGAAGACACTCCTAAAAATTGAGACGTGTATCTATAAATTAGAGTCTTTTGAAGAGGAAAATTTTTCCATCGATGAGCTGATAAGAACCCGTTCGATCTCGACATATAAAACTGCCAACCGAAAATCGGTCACGGATTCGTCATCCGTGAAGAGTACAAAACTGTGTTTGACTTGTTACCACGCGGATATCGCATAATCGTGATTGTAACGGGGCACCCTGAAGCTTGTACTGATGACAGTACAAGCTACTTGCTCTGACGACAAAGTAAGGCGGTGCCTCGTAACTACACGTACACTCGTACGTGCAGAGGAAGACGGTAGGAAGAAGCGAGTACTTGGTTAGAGTAAAAAGTAGAACTGTATTTAGTATAGTTAATGTCTGCAATAAATCACTATTTATCTTCATCTAACTATGTCTAAATACAAATGTGTAAATCAATTATCTGATCACCACTCATTGCGTGCGTCTGTCGTGGCGCGTCTTCGTTGGTTGATATAATGGCCTATATCAACCAATTAGGAACTACTCGTAAGTGCTGCAGAATATTTGTCCTTATGACAATATTCTGAGAATGTAGCTCTTGCAGTTATATCCTAGTAACAATTTCATATAAATTGTTACGTAACGATTCACCCGGTTACATCACCCCCCTTAACCATCAGTCACTTTAGTGACTGATTGACTTAATGGATACTCGTCCCGAATCATTTGGGACGGGGTTTGCACTTGTTGGTCCGCGTCCACTTTCCAAAATTTCATCGCATGGTAAACAAGCCCATGCGATGCGCGAGCAAGGCCGCCGAGAGCGCGTCCGCACGTCTCTGTGCGGACGCCGAAGCAGAAACCACAGCAACTGATGTCTCATCGGTTGCTGAAGCGTCTCAGCCTGTGTCACCTGGTGATGCAGGCGCTCGTCATGAAGACACTCATGTCTTCACAGAGTATGAGCTCGGTGTCTCATGCTATCCTGATACGGAAGAGGGATTCGTATCGAAGGCGGTTGAAACCACGCCGCCTGCCAAGCGTAGCATGGATGATGCTATGCGTAGTAGCATCTTTGGTTCATCTGATGAATCAGATGAACCATCGCCAAAGCGAAGGCGCTTGAGATCGCAAGACTCGGGCGCTCACAGTGGTGTCGGTTCTCCTATTGACACCACTTCGCAGCGAGGTGCCAGTACTTCTGTCGGCACGTCGCAGGAAAAGCGGGACTGCAGTGTGTTGCGTCTCGCTTCAGAAAAGAAAGCATAGCTGCCTCCAAAGTCGGTCATGGATCACTTGTCGGCGACGACGAGTGTTCGCTATCGAACACGGTTGTTCGATTCGTCAAGGATCCATCACCTTGACCCCAGTGCAAAAAAATATCGCGCTGAACATGAGTTCTTCATCGATGCTTTCTTTAGACATCGATGTTACAGTGGGAATCACAAGCGTGATGGTCCCTCACTACTTTAAGCGTGGAACGCCTACATCCATAATCTCGAGGATGTAGGTCGTGACGCTTGGAACGACAAACTCATCAAAGCTCGTGATAAGTTTGAAAAGCGAACCCCGACAGGTGCACGCTACAAGCTGCATCGTCTGTCAAGGGAGAAAGGATTACCCTGCCTCTCTTGAGGAGACACGTGCCCATGTTGTGTGAACAACTCTGCACGAGCACCTAAAGAGGCTTACCTCCTTACCAGCCCGTGGTGGCGCGTACGTATCTCTGCTGAGATTTACGAAGGGATTGACAACCTGAAATCCCTTTACGACCGTGCCGGGAAGACTTTCTCCGGCGGTCCTTCTGCGGCACAGGATGTGCCGCGTCGTACTGCTCAGCCAGACCCAGTACGTCAACCATCAGTTGGGAGCGGGGCTCCCAAGAATCCCAGGACGGGGGATAGCCGCGCCACCGGACGAGATAACTCGTCCGACGTCCGTTCACGTCGCGGTGGTTCAACAGCTGCTCAACTAGATAGCGCTGGCCACCGCGAGAGTCCTCTAATGGAGGTGGAGGAGGAGGAAAGACGCTCTCCACACGATCCTGTGGATCGGTGTGTTCCCGAGAGCTTCTTTGATCGCGTAACGCAAGGGCTACGCAACGATCTCGAACATGAGCGGGACAGGCGTCTCCAAATGGCGGACACTGTCTCGAAGCATCGAGCTGAGTTTGCCTTTGCTCATCTTGAGAACGAGAGAGCTCTGACATCTCTCCGTGACGAGCTAAGGATAGCTCGTGGGGATGTTGAGCGGTCTCGGGCTGAGATAGCTGCTCTTCAGACCCTTGTCGATGCCCACCATCGGGAGCACAAGGCTCTCTGCGAGATGCTTGAGCGCAAGGGCGTTCTTCATCGGAAGAAGCAGCGTACTGATGGTACGGCTTAAGCCGACCAACATAAAACGTGGGATGCGTTCGCATCTTACGTGGCAACTCGATCGTGTATGCATTGCCTAGGCGGTGCAATACCCAAAATGGGCCAGTGTACTTGGGTAGTAGTTTACTGCTACCCAAGTCAGTCACTACATGTTTTGGTAGATTAACCGTAGACAGTAGGACTGAGTCACCTTTATTAAATAAAAGAGTGTTTGCCCTTCCATTCTTGTCAGCGTTTTGCTTTTGCTTATCCACCGCTTCGGCAATGGAGTCTTGCACAAAACGGACTACCGTTTCACGAGCCAGTATGAACTCATCTGATGACTCGTTAGCTTCAGTGCGCTGTGAGCGCACTGCAGCAACATCAATCTTTTCTTCAGTGAGGGCTTCCGCACTCTCACTGGCATCATCTTCTTCGATATCGATATTGGCATCAAACGCAATGACCTCTTCGTCAGAGCGTGATGAGCGTGAACCAAATCGGTTTTTGCTCGCGCGAGTCCCTCCCCCCCTTAAACCAGAGTTACACTCGAGTAAGGTGGGTACACGCGGATGGCGCAAGCCATTCACGTAAAACGGTGTATGTGTCGTGGACGCATGCACCGAGTTGTTAATGGCAAACTCTACCATTGGCAAAAACTCACTCCAACTCTTAAAGGAGTGTACGTATCCTCGAAGTATCTCTTCGAGGACACGGTTGGATCGTTCCGTCTGACCATCGGACTCTAAATGATCAGATGTCGACATCTTCAAGCGCGTTCCGAGTGTATTGAACACGGAACGCCAGAAATCAGCAGTGAATCGTGGATCTCTGTCTGATACGAGTTCACGTGGCAACCCATGAAGTCGGAAGATGGAGTCAAAAAAGACACAAGCACAGCCACTTGCTGTGATTGACTCGGGTACAGCCACAAGGTGTACCATTTTGCTGAATCTGTCAACAAATACGAGAATACCCGTATTCCCGCGTGCGTCTTTGGGTAACCCGAAGACAAAATCCATTGAGATGGATTTCCAGCACTCAGCCGGAACTGGTAGACGCTGTAAAGGTGCACGCAGTGAAGGACTTGACTTCACTCGTTGACAGACTTCGCATGCGCGAACATACTTTCGCATAAACTGATACTGGCGGGGCCAGTAAAAGTCTCGTCTCACCGTGAGATATGTTTTCTCCCGGCCACGATGTCCTCCTATAGGAGCATCGTGATATTCGAACATGATCCGCTAACGCAGATCAGTATCATCTGGAATGACAACACGTGGTGTGTCACCTGTAACGGCTGTGAAATACAGTAAACCGTTGCGAGTAGTGTATCAATCTGATTCAGATCGATACGCAGACGACAATCGTTTCAACGATTCTCGAGATGGCTGTGAGAGATGTGTCAACAACTTCACAATCTCACCATCTTGGGCATACGCCCGCTTCACATCGTCATGTAACGTTGTAGATGGGACTGAGGACATCAGAACCGCAACAGTGGCTGTCTCACTGTTGGGTTTCGCGACTGTTTCAAAGTCAAGACGACGTGAGATTGCATCAGCGACGACATCAAGTCGTTCTGGTTTTTACTCTACCGTAAAGTTGTATTCTGCAAAGAATGACAACCACCGCGCCATTCGTTGTGAAAGGTGCGGGCTGTTCACTGCCGTGCGTAATGACGCGTGGTCAGTGTAAACAATGAAGGGTCTATCTCCTAATAGATAGACTCTGAACTTCGCGAGTGCATACTTCATGGCAAGGAATTTCTTGTCATGCACTGGATAGTTCTGCTCATCTGGTTGCAGCTGACGCGACTGATAGCAGACGACGCGTTCAACGCCTTCAAGATCGTACTACATTAATGCACAGCCGATTGCGAAATCGCTGGCATCACAGACCACATGAAATGGCCTGTCCTGATCGGCAATTGCTAGGACTGGGGATTGTATCAAGCTCTGCTTGATGCCATCAAAGGAGCGCTGACATTCAGCGTTCCATATTCACCTCTCGTTCTTTTTCAACAATCGAGAGAGGTGCACAGTCATCTCGGCGTGATTGCGTGAATACTTATGCAGATACGCCGCTAGCCCAAGGAATTTTCGAATACCTTTGACATCAACCGGCACAGGCCAGTCGGTGATCGCCTTGATCTTTTCGGGATCAGGACGTACACCGTTCTTACCAACGATGCACCCAAGAAGTGGTATTTCGCTTGCTGCAAATACACACTTCTTGAGATTGGCATACATTGATTCTTTCGCATGATTGTAAGAACCTGTCGGAAGTGGTACCTGTGAACCTCAAAACGTCCGAGTTTCCATCCATAGCCCGACTATGGATGAATACGTCATCAAAATAACTCGGTGCGAATTCTCGTACTGGTCTCAACGGGTGTGATACACATCTGTTGAACGTGGCAGGGGACATTACTAAGCCCTTGTGGTATTACTAGCCATTCCCAGAGTATGCCGCTAGGCGTGCTAACTACGGTATAGGGTATGTCCCGTTCTCGCATAAGGATTTGATAGGAGCCATCCATCAAATCCATGGACGAAAAGATGGTACTCCTTGACATACCATCAATGATTACGTCCTTCCTCGGTATCGGCGTCTGAGCCGGTACCGTTGCAGCGTTCAATTTGTTGAACGCGTGCACTATCCGCCACCCTCCTGTTGCTTTTCGCACACAGAAGGTCGGAGAGCTATGTGGGGAATTTGATTCCCTCACATGGCCCGCAGCTAAACGATCGGCAAAGAGCTTGTCGATCGCAAGTACTTGTTCACGAGGCAGTGGCCACTGCTTCCTGACACAGTACTTCGAGCCTGGTTTAAGCTCGACCTCGTGTCGAATACCTTTATCCTTCGGTAATTCGCACGGAACAGTTTCAGGGAATACATCCTTGAATTCAACCAAATCTTCATAGAGAGGATTTGTCTTGAGCGATTCCCACGATTGGGGGTCATATCGCTCAACTCGTGTCTTTTCATCTAGGACACTCTCGTCCATAGATGAACTACTGAGAACTCTCTCGTTCTCAGTAAACACTGTTGCTGACCTCATGTCGGCTACACAATCGTCGTCAGCGACGAGTACGCAGATCTGCTTGACTTTGCCACTACGCAGATCACGCAAGAACCTTTTATGTTCGAGCGTTGGCAACTGAGTGATCTCCGAAGTTAACTTCGGAGGCACAATCAGATCAAGTGTATAAGCGCCTACACTTGATCATCATCGACTATGACATTCAATGTCTCTGTCATTTCCTGGGGACTTATTCCCTCAGGCTTCGAAGGACTTATTCTTTCGGTTTCCCGGGGACTTATTCCCTTGGGTTTCGGGGAACTTATTTCCGCCGTATTTGTAATCTTGGGACTTATTCCCTTTACTTCCTCTAGCTGGGGTTGCGCAACCACAGCGAGATCCTCTACGAAAGACTCTCCAGTCGATCTAGGATTATCGCTTCGCTTAACCTGAGCGATCGATTGTTTCTCTTCTAGATGTTCCCCGCTAGGGATACATCTTTGTCCCGGTCCACTCGACTTTTTCGAGTGGTGGACCTTCGGCGCAGCCTGTGTTTCCTCACAGCTGCCGGAACTTTGCTCCGAAGTGTAACCGTTTGTTACACTAAGGTTTTTTGCAGTCGTACTAACGACCGTACCACAAGTGAGGCCATCGCACTCACTCGTAGTACATCCACACGCTTGTGGACGCTCCAAAACGTTCATCAGATGGCCATCTGATGAACAAGCGGCAGGCATCGTTACTGTTCGATGTTGCCAGTTAACCCGTGGTTCGTACCTTCTGAGCCATGGTATTCCAAGGATGACATCAAATTTGTCATCCAAATCCAATACGATAAAGTCATCGTCATATTGGGTATCTTCTAGCGTATAGTGGATCTTCACTATACGCTTCATGACGGTTTCGGATGCGCCTGTCGCAATACGTACCGTCATCCTCGTAGGAGGTGTGTCACATTCAATAAACTTGAAGTGACCATCTTCTAGCTATTGGCGTCGCACAGAATTGTTAGACGCCCCACAATCGACTAGAGCTCGAAGGGACAACTTATTTGTCACTTCGAGTTTTAAGGTAATAAGTGAGATCTCATTACCTAGAGCAGCAACGCACAACGTTTGTGTGTTGGGAGCAACCTTCATCAAGAGGCCTACAAATTCTCTTGACGTTGCTGGACCAGTGGGTGCTCCGCATCAGGGGGTGCTCCGCACCTACTGATCCTGTCCATTTTTTGACGGTCCATCCCGTTGTTGCGTCTTTGCGCCAACAGCGGACCCGCGTCTCTGCCCTTTTCTCATGGGTGGACGGTCACTACGCCCAGTGGTGCAAGACACTGGACGAGGGGCACTACACTCGTAAGCGTAGTGTCCTGTCTTTTGACATCCGTTGCATCTCTGCAACTTCTTGTAGTCTGTAGAGCGAGCCTTCTCGCTCTCTACATAACAGAGTTCCATCGGGTCTGGACCTCCGCTGTCATATCGTCTCTTTGTACGATATGATGTCGAGATGGCGCGAGCCTGTCTCAGACTTTGTCCGCAATGGAAATGTCTTGTTCTAATGAATCTAGTTCAAGTCGGAACAGGTGAGTCTTGACGGGACCATCCGCAAGACCCTGCATGGACACCGAAACCAACGTGTGTTCATCAACCGGGTTGGAACTTATACAACTCGTAAGCGTGTACATCACGCTTACCCTGTTTGAGCTTCAAGAGTTCGATTCGAGCTCTGAACTCAGCTCTAGGCGGTTCAAACGTTTATCTGAGCCACCACCTGAAGACTTCTAACGACCCAAACGCATATTGGTCGTGCAACTTGAGCCCCAGTGCCCAAGTCTTGGCACGTCCTACCAGAATGCAAATTGCATATCCCCGTCGTCGATGCGACGCGCCCTTATGGCGTCGTCTAATTCGACGAAACATCTCAAGAAGGAGTCCTCTTCGACTCCCCTATACTTGAAGATGTCAATCTTCAAGGTTTCTGGTCGACGCGAGTGCATCGACCCACCAGCAGCAGCCTGCTGCTGTCTCAACAGTTCAAACTGTTGAGCACCCTGTTCTCTCAACAACTCTGATTGTTGAGAACCTTGTTGGTGAAGCAAGGCTACTTTGTCGCGTTTAGCGTCAAGTTCATTTTGGATGAACTTGGCGATAGTAGCATGTTGGGCATCTCTATTGAGAGCCTCTAGCATGACGCTAACAGCATGGATGCCCATGGTTGAACCCATCCGTTCAACCGCATCCCATTCGACATCGATCAAATGGGAATAGCCGTCACGCGCAACGTGAAAGCTTTGGTCATCTTCATCATCTAACATGTTCATGTTAGATGTGATCGTGGTCCTTGGACGGACTACGAAGTGCTACCAGGTGTAACGGGGCACCCTGAAGCTTGTACTGTCACCAGTACAAGCTACTTATTCTGACGACAGAATAAGGCGGTGCCTCGTAACTTCACGTACACTGGTACGTGCAGAGGAAGACAGTAAGAAGAAGCGAGTACTTGGTTAAAGTATAAAGTAGAACTGTATTTAGCATAGTTAATGTCTGTAATAAACCCCCTGTCTGTAATAAACCCCCTGTCTGTAATAAACCCCCTGTTTATCCTCATCTAACTATGTCTAAATACAAA